TCTGAGTTCCTGATTGAGTTCCTATTCAGACTGAGTTCCTGATTGAGTTCCTACTCAGACTGAGTTCCTACTCAGACTGAGTTCCTGATTGAGTTCCTACTCAGTCTGAGTTCCTGATTGAGTTCCTACTCAGTCTGAGTTCCTACTCAGTCTGAGTTCCTGATTGAGTTCCTACTCAGACTGAGTTCCTACTCAGACTGAGTTCCTGATTGAGTTCCTACTCAGTCTGAGTTCCTGATTAAGTTCCTACTGAGACTGAGTTCCTGATTGAGTTCCTACTCAGACTGAGTTCCTACTCAGTCTGAGTTTCTGATTGAGTTCCTACTCAGACTGAGTTCCTGATTGAGTTCCTACTCAGACTGAGTTCCTGATTGAGTTCCTACTCAGTCTGAGTTCCTGATTGAGTTCCTACTCAGACTGAGTTCCTGATTGAGTTCCTACTCAGACTGAGTTCCTACTCAGTCTGAGTTCCTGATTGAGTTCCTATTCAGACTGAGTTCCTGATTGAGTTCCTACTCAGACTGAGTTCCTACTCAGACTGAGTTCCTGATTGAGTTCCTACTCAGTCTGAGTTCCTGATTGAGTTCCTACTCAGTCTGAGTTCCTGATTGAGTTCCTACGCAGACTGAGTTCCTACTCAGTCTGAGTTCCTGATTGAGTTCCTACTCAGACTGAGTTCCTGATTGAGTTCCTACTCAGACTGAGTTCCTGATTGAGTTCCTACTCAGACTGAGTTCCTGATTGAGTTCCTACTCAGACTGAGTTCCTGATTGAGTTCCTACTCAGACTGAGTTCCTACTCAGTCTGAGTTCCTGATTGAGTTCCTACTCAGTCTGAGTTCCTGATTGAGTTCCTACTCAGTCTGAGTTCCTGATTGAGTTCCTACTCAGACTGAGTTCCTACTCAGTCTGAGTTCCTGATTGAGTTCCTACTCAGACTGAGTTCCTACTCAGTCTGAGTAGGAACTGAGTTCCTACTCAGTCTGAGTTCCTGATTTAGTTCCTACTCAGACTGAGTTCCTACTCAGTCTGAGTTCCTACTCAGACTGAGTTCCTGATTGAGTTCCTACTCAGTCTGAGTTCCTGATTAAGTTCCTACTCAGACTGAGTTCCTACACAGACTGAGTTCCTGATTGAGTTCCTACTCAGTCTGAGTTCCTGATTGAGTTCCTACTCAGACTGAGTTCCTACTCAATCTGAGTTCCTGATTGAGTTCCTACTCAGACTGAGTTCCTACTCAGTCTGAGTTCCTGATTGAGTTCCTACTCAGACTGAGTTCCTACTCAGTCTGAGTTCCTGACTGAGTTCCTACTGAGACTGAGTTCCTACTCAGTCTGAGTTGCTGATTGAGTTCCTACTCATACCGAGTTCCTCCTCACACTGAGTTCCTACTCAGACTCAGCTATGCGCTTCTAAGTCTAGATTGAAAACTCATTTCGTTAGAACTGCTTTGTTAGTGTTTAGTTTGCTGTCTTTCCCACGCACCTTATATCAGCACGGCTGGCTACGTACGGTGCGAAAGAAGTTCAACACACGTACGTACATCCACTGGATATTCATAGCACCGGGCGTTAACCACCGCACAACGAATGATGTCAGCCACAGCTGGGAATGAAACTCGGGTGGCCGAGTTCGTAACGCGCGCGCGCTCCCACTGTGCAACCACTGTCAAACGCGTGCACGCGCACACACACAAAGACAAAATACAAAGATCCCCGTGTAGCCTTAACAGACTGTAGGGGCAAGTGCTGTTAGCGAGCACCTACGCAGGCCGGCACGGCACACGAGGGAGTGGGTGGCCAACACCACGCCCGGCCGCCTTTGTCTCCCCAGTGGCGATGTTTACACATCGCACCAGGTACTCATTTGAGGCTGAGTCGACCTAGGGGAGGCCCAGGACCGGTTCAAATAATCGTCACTGGCGTTGGCCGTGAGCGGGAATCGAACTCCGGTCGCCGGGTTCGTTGCGCGGCGCGCTAACCGCTGCACCACCGCTCCCCACAACACGCACAGACACACACACAGGCAGAGACGCACACTCTTCTCTCAAAAACTCAACGCCCACTCCACCACCCTACCCCAGTGAGATCCTCTGCAAATAGACTTGTCCCAAATTGGAATGATGGGGTCCCATTGCTGAGCGCAGGCCGGTGGAGTGCTGGGCGCCGAGCCGCTGTTGCCTAGCGAAGTGCCTCTCGAATGGCTTTTGTACAACGACACCCACGGCTGTGTACGCGACCTTTCTTGTGTACTCCGAGCACACTATTTGCTGCTGTTACGGCAGCGAGATGTTGACTACCTCGCTTGCTATACAGGAGGTCATGGGTTCGATCCCGACCCTGGCGCCTGGTGTATGTTTGGAGTCAGCGTGCTCTCGCTCTCTCCCCCGTGGTCTCGTGGATTTTCGTCCGGGTCCTCCGGTTTCTCCCTCCGTATTTAGAATGAACATCACGCGTGTTTGACTGCTGTGCATTTACACGTGATAAGCCACTTCGTAGAGCTGTGATGTGTGACCAGGTGGCTCCTGAAACAGAGCTATACACCTCAGTGGGCCCTAACCTGGTAACATAACAAAATAGTTTCGTTTTATCATGGGACCGGTTTTTTTGTTGCCAGTATCAAAGTATGAAAAATAAAAATAGATTTTACCCTTTCCGCGCAATTAAACAGGTGTTCAAATGTTCACACACCCAATTGATGCCTTTTGCAAGGAATCAAGTCCGCATTAACCGCCCATGCTTGTGGTGAACACGCAAACAAGCACGCTCTGGTATTAGATGTCATTGTCTTTGAAACCGACTGGCCTACACCAGAGACAGCCTTCTTTATAGGGCCTAGTCTCACCGTGTCAGACCAGAGAACGCCAAAAGGCCAACAATACAAAGACAATTCAGACAAAGACAGAGCACGTGTCGATACGTGCACTGTCTACTTGGCGTTTGAACTTCTTAACGCCTGTTTTATTCGCTGAAATGGTAAAAACCACGATTTTTATTTTCCACAGTTTCGTTACGTTGGCAGTGCTGCACGAACACGGATCACGAAACAAACTCAACGCGGTCGTCAGGAGCCCCGTGGGCTTAAAAAAAAAAAATTGGTGAAAAGCAATCTTTTCAAAGCGCACACTTTTATTTGCACTCTAAAGCGGAAAATAAATTACTCTGACCCCACATGTAAGCACATTTGATGTGCTGATTAAAAGCGGGTGGCGTCCTCTCGATGTGTTTCATTTTCTTCGTGCAAGCCACAGGCAGTGCGATTGTGGTCATGCAACTCAAAACTCTGGAAGCGTGGAGCCAAACCCACTGTTGGCCTGCGCTCCATCAACGAAGGAGGAGGAACAGCGGACACGAACTCTTCTCTCTCTCTGTCTGCGGAAGCCCTCTCGTCGTGGCCAACAGCAGCAGCAGACCTCCACGTCGGGCTTCGTGCTCCCGAATGTATCGCCGTGGGAAAATCACGGAATCGTTTTCTGAATCGTGCAATAGCTGTGCTGTGATGCCCTCTGGTGAGAAAGCGATGAATTGTTTATATCTATAGACGGCTGGTATGCAGTAGGCCGGAGTGCGATATCGACTCTCAACACCTCTGTCGAATATCTCAGCTTATGGCTCGCTCTCCAAATATACTATTTTATTTTCTGGCTATGGTATATGGTTGTGTGTGGTTTTTTTTCATTTGATTGAAAATTAACCGCGACGTTTTGTGTATTAGACGCATACTGTAGTCTCGAGGCAAATTTTGAAGAGGGCCTTGATTTTGGATACCTCTGCCAGACCGTGCGTATCTGCCTCCTTGTATTTGTGTGTCTGCTTGTCTGTCTGGCTATGGTTATGTCCACTTGATTTCCTTCCTGGGTCACTGCCTAGCTGTCCGGATATTTAACACGTAAGCTTTCGCGACCAATATTATCCATAAAGGAGGTGTTTTGGGGTTGGATCGTGTAAATATAAAAATGTGTCGTTAAACCCGCCGCCACCCGACACAGCCAATTAGTCAGGTTTGTCACGTAAACAGAACGTAGCCAATTCGTTACTAGTTCAGCACACTGGTGTGTTGGAGAGTAAACCCACAACATTTACAATTTGAATACGACGTTTCACCAGTAATTACAACCAGCTTGATCAGGCGGACAGGCAGAGTTGTGGAGAAATACTCCTGCCGACCAATGTATTATTGACTTTTTTTAAAATTTCCATTTCTTTATAGGTATACGTCTTTGATCAGGTAAGGCCCACTTAGCTACGTAGCTCTTTTTCAGAAGCAACCTGGCCACAAGTGACAGCTAATCGAAGTTGATCATCATCGCTTGGACATGTATAGCAGCGGCCAAATGCTCGCATCGCGTGCTGATTCTAAATGCGGAGGGAAAAAACTGGAGGATCCGGAGAAAACTCCACGCGACCACGGGGAGAGAAAAACGCAAACTCCAAATATACAGCAGCAGCAGGCGTCAGGGCCGGGATCGAACTCACGACCTCCTGTATGCCAGGCGAAGTAGTTAACATCTCCTAGCCACCGTGGGCTCCCTTATCTCCCTGTATGCCTGTCACCCTGTGTAGGGCGGTCTGGGACTGTTGTTGTTGTTTTGCTGCCTTGCCCAAGCTTGCATTTGGTGTTGACAAATCATCAGGTATATATGTACTTGTGGAATTTGTACTTCTAGACTTTATTTATGTGTATTTAATTTATAGCGACTTCATTCACCTTTTCTCTCGCTTCATCTTGCATCGGTTTTTTTGTATTGTTTGTTGATGCAACTCGCCGGCCCGCTTCCCCTACTGGACACCTGTGGAAAACAGCTTCACAGCTCATCGGATTCCTCTACAGTCTAAAATAAATATTCTGATGTTTATTCCACTCCCTTTCTGCCTCTCTGCCTGCGTTCTTCTGTACCTGCCCGTTCAACTCTCTGCGTGTGTTTGTCTGCCTCTATAAATCTCCCTCCCTCCGTGCGTCTGCGCGTGCGCCCGTTTGTCTGTGCGTCTGTCCGTCACGCAGTCTCAACTTCACCCTGGTGACTCCAGTCCCCGACGGAGCCGGAGATCCCAGGAAAACGCAGCCCAGGACCACGGACCGCATGTCCAGCCAGCGCCACATGGGAGAGGCGCTCGCTAACTGGGCTGACGTCAGAGCCGGAGAACGTGCCTCCAGCAAGCACAGGAAGTTCAGCGACCTGTGGGTCAAATTCCAGGGCAGGTACGTACGTACGTGTGCACGTTGAGCTTTTTTCTCTAACCGCACGTAGCCAACCGTGCTAATTGGAGGTGCGGGATTAAGCACAACCGAGTAAACAACAAAACTTAAGTTCCAAAGAACAGGTGAATCAAGTTCTAAAGCACTTCGTTTCAGATCTAAGATTATTTAAAAGTGCACAGCTGCAGTGGCCTCCTATTATCGGAAGAGCGTTCCAGACGGCCGCAGAAACCTTGTCTGCACGTGCGCGCGGCGCGGTGGCCGTCTTTGTTCGACGGCGAGCAGCCCAAAGGCGTCAGGGCAGCACGTCCGAAGGCGACCGCCCGGCACAGTGCCGGGAAGCGCTGTGCGATGCCTTCGTCACCCCCCGCCTGCCACTCCCCACCCACGGCTCGTCCGCTTTAGCGACGGCGTCACGACGCCAGCGGCCGCTCAGCGACAGACGGCGAACGCCACGGCGGAGGAGGTGGTGGAGGAGGAGGAGGTGGAGGAGGAGCAGTCAACACAGCCGCCACCACCGACGAGGAGGAAGATCTCCGCACCCTCTACCGCGGCGACGACGGCGACGACGGCGACGCCGACAACATCGGGGGGTCCGAGCCGAGGGCCTCCCCGGCTGCTGTGGCCGGCACTGCTCCTGTGGTTCCTCCACTGAGATTATTTAGATTACTATCCCCCCCCGCCCCCACCCGGCTGTAAATGCCCAGGTATCAAAATACAATAGGTTTGACCCCTTTCTGGCACTAAAACAGGCGTATCTCTTACTCTTGCGGGTTTTTTGTTCCTGTTTCCCGGCTCTCTGACATTGACATTCTAATCTTCTCATTGGCACAGCCCCCGGTTGCTGGAGCCGTCTGACATTGACATGCTAATCTCTCACATTGACATTAACGTACAATTTCCTTCTCCAGCTCCCCCCACTTACCCTTGGGTTGGGGCCACCAGAAGCCTCTATGTAACCTCTTGTTGTTGCAGCAGCTCTTTCTCCTACGTCAGCAGTTCTCCTGCTGTGTTTGTCTCACCTGATGACGGTCGCCTGTGTTGCGATCGAAACGTCACGTGATCTATTAATTTTATATCTGCGTGACTTTACCAAAGGAACCACAGAGTATGGGTGTTAAGATGTTAAAACACCAAACAGAATCCTTTTTCAAAGAATCCTGTCTGCATTAACCACATGTACTTGTGGGGAAGATGCAAACGCAAAAACATGCTCTGCTAGTACCTGGCAGTGTCTTTGAAACTGATTTCTCCACAACGGAAACAGTTTTCTTTTGAGCCTCGTCGCAAAGTGTTAGACCAGAACGCTAAAAGGCGAACCGCACAAAGACAATGCGATATCAGCAGTGGCGGAGCCGGGATTTTCAGGTAGGGGGGGCAACCCCTCCAGCAATGACAAATGATAGAGGAGTTGTTAGTAAGTAAGGACTTGTCCCTTGATTTTTATTCGAGGCGTTGTGTGATCGGCATCGCGCTCGCTGAAGGTGAATGCCTTCTGGGAAGTCGTGTACTGTATACGCAACTGCGCACAAATCTGTGAGTCACTTGTAACCGCTTTGCCGTTACTTATTGCCAATTATGAGCTCGGACTATTGTCCTATCATCTCATAGAGTTCCTGTCACGTAATAATAATAATATGCCACACAGTGGCAGTGGGGGTCGCAAAATGCCGATTTATTACTAAAAAACCTCAATTATCCGATCGAAATCCATAATTTCGATCGGATCATTTGGGGGTTACGTGCCCCCCCCCCAACCCACCCCACTGGCTTGGCCCCGCCACTGAATTTCAGGGCATTTATATCTCGGGGTGAGCAGCTACAATATGGGAACTTTATTGGCAGTATACAAAAAACAACAATAGGTTTTACCCTTTCTGCCAATAAAACCGGTGTTAAGATGTTTAAACACCAAACAGAATCCATTTTCAAGGAATCCTGTCTGCAAATATAACAGTAGGGTAAAAACCTATTGTTATATTTTGCTACTGGCAAGAAAGGTCCTATATCGTAGCTGCTCACACCGAACTATAAATACCCTGATAGTGGCATTGTCTTTGTGCTGTTGGTCTTTTGGTGTTCTCCGGTCGAACACACTGAGACGAGGCTCAAATTGAAAGCTGTCTCTGGTGTGGACCAATCAGTTTCAAAGACAATGCATCATATTTTCAGAGGGTGTTTTTGTGTTTGCATGTTCACCACAAGTACGTGTGGTTAATGCAGATAGGATTGTTTGAAAAAGGATTCTGTTTGGTGTTTTAACATCTTTCCACCTGCTTTTTTGGCAGAAAGGGTAAAATCGTCTTCTTATAAATGTCCACGTGATGATCAGACACTTTGTGGAGCTTTCATTTGTGGCCAGGTCGCTTATGAACAACAAGTTAATAGCTCGGTTGGCTTTACCTGGTAACATGACTTCTCCGTCGACTGGAACCCAGCTGCTGGGGTTCAAAAGCAGCCTCAAGAACTTTCCACCTTCTCGCCAGGCTATAACTGCATTGATGTTTGTACGAAGCGATTGCGATACACCGTTTCTGAAGAAGCTCCAGCCACGTGGGAGCAAAGCGTCGGACATCGTACCAAACAAGCCCATAAAACACATCGGGGAAATGACGGTGGTGATGCCGATGACCCGAATCGTCTGGACGAATGGTCCCGATCCAGTCGGATGTTGCGGGTTGAGCCTGGACAACGCTTGGATGGGTGACCACCGGGCACGTGCCTGTAGTTTGATAGAAGGGCTTACGGCAGGTGTCACGTTGTGAACAGCAGAGGGCAGTTGCAGCAGAAACCCCGTGCCATTCACGAGTAACTCATCTAGCAGTGGATTCACAAAACTGGTTGTACATATGAAGGGGGAATACAAAAAAAGGGTAAAATTGTGGCCCTGCAATTGGTCACTCAGGCGACTGCTGGCGGAAGGACCTCCACTAGAGGGAGCTCTTAGAGAGGGTATGTGGCCTACTCCTCCACGCTGCTCCATATGTATTGGAGAGAAATGAGAGTACCCATGCTTTACCCCACCCCGATCAGCTCACTGTGGTGAACCCATCGATACTGCTGAGTGGACAGAGGTGGGAGGCAGGGGGATTTAAGAAACTTGCCCCATTGTTAAGAAACTTGGCCTATTGTGATGTAAGAAACTTGCCCCATTGTTAAGAAACCTGGCCTATTGTGAAGTAAGAAACTTGCCCCATTGTTAAGAACATTGTCTTATTGTGATGTAAGAAACTTGCCCCATTGTTAAGAAACTTGACCTATTGTGATGTAAGAAACTTGCCCCATTGTTAAGAAACGTGGCCTATTGTGATGTAAGAAACTTGCCCAATTGTTAAGAAACTTGGCCTAATGTGATGTAAGAAACTGGCCCCATTGTTAAGAAATCTGACCTATTGTGATGTAAGAAACTTGCCCCATTGTTAAGAAACTTGGCCTATTGTGATGTAAGAAACTTGCCCCATTGTTAAGAAACCTGGCCTATTGTGATGTAAGAAACTTGCCCCATTGTTAATAACCTTGTCTTATTGTGATGCAAGAAACTGGCCCCATTGTTAAGAAACTTGGCCTGTTATGATGTAAGAAACTTGCCCCATTGTTAAGAAACTTGGCCTATTGTGATGTAAGAAACTTGCCCCATTGTTAAGAACATCGTCTTATTGTGATGCAAGAAACTGCCCCCATTGTTAAGAAACTTGGCCTATTGTGATGTAAGAAACGTGCCCTATTGTTAAGAAACTTGGCCTATTGTGACGTAAGAAACTTGCCTCATTGTTAAGAGCCTCGTCTTATTGTGATGTAAGAAACGTGCCCCATTGTTAAGAAACTTGACCTATTGTGATGTAAGAAACTTGCCCCATTGTTAAGAAACTTGGCCTATTGTGATGTAAGAAACTGGCCCCATTGTTAAGAAACTTGGCCTAATGTGACGTAAGAAACTGGCCCCATTGTTAAGAAATCTGACCTATTGTGATGTAAGAAACTTGCCCCATTGTTAAGAAACTTGGCCTATTGTGATGTAAGAAACTTGCCCCATTGTTAAGAAACCTGGCCTATTGTGATGTAAGAAACTTGCCCCATTGTTAAGAACATTGTCTTATTGTGATGTAAGAAACTTGCCCCATTGTTAAGAAACTTGACCTATTGTGATGTAAGAAACTGGCCCCATTGTTAAGAAACGTGGCCTATTGTGATGTAAGAAACTTGCCCCATTGTTAAAAAACTTGGCCTATTGTGATGTAAGAAACTGGCCCCATTGTTAAGAACATTGTCTTATTGTGATGTAAGAAACTTGCCCCATTGTTAAGAAACTTAACCTATTGTGATGTAAGAAACTTGCCCACTTGTTAAGAAACTTGGCCTATTGTGATGTAAGATACTTGCTCCATTGTTAAGAAACTTGTCTTATTGTGATGTAAGAAACTGGCCCCATTGTTAAGAACCTTGTCTTATTGTGATGTAAGAAACTTGCCCCATTGTTAAAAAACTTGGCCTATTGTGATGTAAGAAACTTGCCCCATTGTTAAGAACATTGTCTTATTGTGATGCAGGAAACTGCTCCCATTGTTAAGAAACTTGGCCTAATGTGATGTAAGAAACTTGCCCCATTGTTAAGAAACTTGGTCTATTGTGATGTAAGAAACTTGCCCCATTGTTAAGAACCTTGTATTATTGTGATGTAAGAAACTTGCCCAATTGTTAAGAACCTTGGCTTATTGTGATGTAAAAAACTTTTCCCATTGTTAAGAAACTTGGTCTATTGTGATGTAAGAAACTTGCCCCATTCTTAAGAAACTTGGCCTATTATGATGTAAGAAACTGGCCCAATTGTTAAGAAACTTGGCCTATTGTGATGTAAGAAACTTGCCCCATTGTTAAGAAACTTGGCCTATTATGATGTAAGAAACTGGCCCGATTGTTAAGAACATTGTCTTATTGTGATGTAAGAAACTTGCCCAATTGTTAAGAACCTTGGCTTATTGTGATGTAAGATACTTGCCCCATTGTTAAGAAACTTGGCCTAATGTGATGTAAGAAACTTGCCCCATTGTTAAGAACCTTGTCTTATTGTGATGTAAGAAACTGGCCCCATTCTTAAAAAAACTTGGTCTATTGTGATGTAAGAAACTTGCCCATTGTTAAGAAACTTGGCCTATTGTGATGTAAAAAACTTTTCCCATTGTTAAGAAACTTGGTCTATTGTGATGTAAGAAACTTGCCCCATTGTTAAGAAACTTGGCCTATTGTGATGTAAGAAACTGGCCCCATTGTTAAGAAACTTGGCCTATTGTGATGTAAGAAACTTGCCCAATTGTTAAGAACCTTGTCTTATTGTGATGTAAGAAACTGGCCCCATTGTTAAGAAACTTGGCCTATTGTGATGTAAGAAACTGGCCCCATTGTTAAGAAACTTGGCCTATTGTGATGTAAGAAACTTGCCCAATTGTTAAGAAACTTGGCCTATTGTGATGTAAGAAACTGGCCCCATTGTTAAGAAACCTGGCCTATTGTGATGTTAGAAACTTGCCCCATTGTTAAGAAACTTGACCTATTGTGATGTAAGAAACTTGCCCCATTGTTAAGAAACTTGGCCTATTGTGATGTAAGAAACTGCCCCCATTGTTAAGAAACTTGGCCTATTGTGATGTAAGAAACTTGCCCCATTGTTAAGAAACCTGGCCTAGTGTGATATAAGAAACTTGCCCCATTGTTAAGAGCCTCATCTTATTGTGATGTAAGAAACTGGCCCCATTGTTAAGAAACTTGGCCTAATGTGATGTAAGAAACTAGCCCCATTGTTAAGAAACTTGGCCTATTGTGATGTAAGAAACTTGCCCACTTGTTAAGAAATTTGGCCTAGTGTGATGTAAGAAACTTGCCCCATTGTTAAGAAACTTGTCTTATTGTGATGTAAGAAACTTGCCCCATTGTTAAAAAACTTGGCCTATTG